AAAGGTCGGAAGTGCGCGCGCTGTTACAATCATGTCATCTCTGCATCCCATAGATACTATTTACTACACACAATAGGCTTTTTTTCTCTGATTTTTAAAATTCTTCGCGATCGACTTTAGTGATAAAAGACTTTAGTAAAAGTCTCTATCGACGGGTTAGTGATTCCTGTAACGTACTGTTTTACGGTCAATGACATGAATACTAATCATCAGCTGTCTCACGAACGTAACAGCACATATATCCACAACATAACAAACCCATAACACAGCGAGGGAGAACTAAGTTACATGAAACAATCCCAACTACATATTTTACACCACTCACAAGGGAAAAGTCACTACTCACGGAGTGTAAAAGGCTAGCTTCCAGCTTTCCGCTACTTCTCTTTCAAGGTAGTGATGAAACGCGTTCTGTAGCGCTGTTTGTTCGCGTTCGGCTACGGTAGGAATATGACGTCACAACATGGCGACCTTCATAGAAGGGGATTCCCTCGGTTATGGAGCTATTAATGTCTCATTCTAAGGTAATAAAAACATTACGGCTAATTAAGTAAGTTCTTTATACACCACTGAAAACATAGTTATGGATGTCATATTGCATTTCTGTTAATAGATACTCAACTTTGTTACACATTGCACCTTTAAGTATACACGTGACATTGGTTACAAGGTAGTCAGAAACAGCAGCGATTTCAAACCGTGATTTTGAGACTGTCTTTGGTTCACTGCAGTTTTAAGGAGAAAAAACTGAGCAATGGTGTTAACTTGACTTGAAATGTTTTTTATCTTAAAGCATATTAAGAACACCAACATTAAAAACCTGAATTTAACCAAAGGGTTAAAATGACATGAGGTGACATCTGGTTAAAAAGACATTTTAAGTGACGAATCCAAAAAATTATACTACACCCTCAGCCTTTGCCAGCACTCAGCCTTTAACACAAGTGTACTTCCTGTTCCTGCACTCTTTCTCGCTTTTTACATGCCTAGATTAATTGAGTTTAAAGAACAAATGAAGAGTTCAGATGCAAAAGCCTCTAAGTGCCATTTGAAATTTTCTTCTAGAATGATAATTTTTATCAAGCTTGTATATTTAAGTTCAGTGATTTCACTTAAATGGCAATGATAATTACCTATTAATTGTTATTTAAGTGAAATTACTGAACTTAAATATACAAGTTTGATAAAAAAAATCATCATTAAAGGAGAAAATTTCAAATGGCATTTAGAGGCTTTTGCATCTGAACTCTTCAAATGCATTTTGTGCAAGCCGTCCAGCTTTTGAAATGTCCAGAAGCTTCTACAGCTTCCTAAATTATAAGCACGATATTAATTTAAGAGACTGATAACCCTCAATATGCTTTTAAAATTGACTACGACAGTCTAGGGGTGATAAAAGCTAGCGCTCAACTTTAAATCTGTTACGTCTTTTTTGTTGAAAAAAGAGCTAAAATGCTCCCCCAATGTTAAACTATTTAAACAATTAAATGCAAAGCTTCTACAAAACATTTTATAATAATATTTTTTTGTACAATATAAGTATTGTTTTTAACCAACTGTTTGTGTATTGTATATGGAAACACTGCAGTTAAGCACAAGAGACATTTCAAAAACAGTTTAAAAACCTTACTAATCTCATGAACAGCAGTGTATGTGTAAACATATTTTTTTCTCTTTTATTTTTATTCATTCATCTAGCTGACGCTTTTATCCAAAGCGACTTACAAGTGCTATATATGTCAGAGGTTGCACGCCTCTGGAGCAACTAGGGGTTAAGTGTCTTGCTCAGGGACACATTGGGGTCTCACAGTGGATTCAAACCCAGGTCTCTCACACCAAAGGCATGTGTCTTATCTACCATCACTACCCCATAATAGATTTAAAAGCAGCAGAATCAAAATCTTTCCAATCTTTCAAACTCTTTCAGAATCAAAAAGTATCCCCCGGAACTTTTAAATACACCGTATGATTTGGTTGGGAATAACTGATTTAAACTGTGGCTTGTTTAGGTAGTGAGCAAAATAGCAGTAACACAGTTTGCACTAGTGTAAGGTATAATTCTGCTTCTAATCTCTATTTTCATGACATTAATTTTATACTTGCTCCAAATATCACCCAAGACAACCAATTCAGCAATCACTAAAAGAGCTCCCAAAAGAGATACAGCACTGCTAAACACCTAGTAGGGTTCCAGCACTGAATAAGCCACCATTTAGATTGCCGTACAAAAAAAAAAAAACATCGCCTGAACTGGTTAATAGAAAGTGAGACTGTCGTCAAAAAGAACAATGTTGACCAACGCAAAGTTCAACTCTAGGTTTCACAGAAAACAAAATATGCTCTGGGAATCATCATCTGTTTTTTAACTCAGTTCAAGTTAGATTAGTCACGCAAATACATTGCGGTCCATGAGCCACGTAAATCAGACATGATATTGACCTCTGGGATATTAAAAGTAAAAAAATAATGGGCAGTACCTGTCGTTGCTAAGACACAGTGAGAGCTAAATGCCTTTGGAAGTGCTTGAAACCTCAAAGCCCTAAACCTCAACTCTACCCCCATCAAGGCTGTTCCATCAATGCAGACTTAATCTTTCTCAAAAGACAGCAATCACGTATGATAAAGCTTGTGGCTTGGTGGATTCTCTACACAATGGATCGAAATAGTGTTTTAAAGAAGAAAGACTCTTCTTTAAAACAGACACTATATACATTGTGTAGAGAAGCACCACATCAACAATTTTGCAAGACAGCAGCAAATAAGCAAGCCACACCACAACAACAAGCTCAAAAACAATTGTGGATACTCCGCTCCTGACATTTAAATTCTGACATCTTGAGGAGAAACTGATAAGTCCCCTGCACACTAAAACCTTAAGCTCAAAGCTGCTCTTTATATTTCTGTGATGAGTTAATTAGACCTGTTATTGAACTGGTTGACTGTAATTTAACAAAAGCTCCGTGTGCACAACCTGGCTGAAGGAGTTGTGTGCAGGTGAAATTATTCTCCCTGTGGACTGATATAAACACACAAACAAACACATCTTCCGGGGCAAATGTCCTCAGATGCTCGTTTCCTGCTGGAAGTCTAAACTCACAGATGAGTAGAAAAGAATGCGTTCTGAGCTCACATCAGGTGTAACAAGGTATAACAAATGCCAGCAGCATTGTGATGGAAATATGCTATCAAAAGACATACATCGAGGCAGGCAGGGGAACTAAAATGATAACGATGTCATTGGTATCTGATGAGGGCAAGATTACACATTCATAAGCTTTTCTTTCTCACAGATGGCTCTGTTTTCTTCTGGTCTCAATGTTATTATAATCATCAGCACAACAAGTCCGTCGCCTCGGACCTGACTTTCCAACCTCTCTAGATGCACACACACACAAAAAAAAAATGTTATCAGTCTTTAAATACTATGAAACGTACATGTGTATTGCATATTTGAATGATCACAGCAACAACACTGATGTGCTGAGGCAATGAAAAAGAGTTAAATCTCGAAAGTCGATTAGCAGTTGTTTCGAATCCTACTTGTTTTTCTGCACCCCTACTAGCCACTTGGGACATTTCATAACATTGGCAAAAGCTGCACAGCAAAAATCACAGGGGCCATGTCTTCAGTATGTATTTCACAACATAAATTCGATCAATCGTCATTCAAATCATTTTCAGTGCAAAATACTCTCTGCCAGTCAAGCAGTCCACAGCGCTGAAAGTGATAAAACACATAATAATGGTAGCTGAGAGCTTGTATGTTTTGACTGTCAGAGTTTCAGCACATTACTTCGTAATGTTGCCAAACTGGGCCATGGTCCAGAGCGAGACTGTTAAAGGGCTAAAAATAAAGCTTCTTTTTTCTTTACCTTTCAGTGATGTAATTTTATATCATTTCAAATATATGATATGCTTGTGATGCAGTGCCAAGCTTCTATTATAAGCTAGAATTGACATTCTTTTCAAATGTCTTGCGGCTCAGCTGAGGACTGGCAGGGGAGTGTGTCCTGTCCCTGCTTGTATTTACTGTCTACAGAATTCAATAGCACCCACACATTGCTGAGTCATATTGGCAATGATCTCCCCCGTTGAAGGATAGTCATTAATTACCTCCACAGTTTCCCTTAAAATCTCAGTGTCAAGTGATAGCTTAATGACACACTTTAAGACATTTAAACAAAACAGAACAAAAATGAAGAACAAATAAATCCTGTAACAAGCAACATCATATTAAGAAAGCAATTGCAATTTGCTTGGTGAGACAAACCAATGCAACTAGTTTTTAAAACTTTAAATGGGCACTATAAAAAAATATATACTTATGGGGGGGAGGGGAGTTTGCAGTAAAAAATGTGATGGCATTTTTTATAACTATATATGTAAATTACATAAATATTATGGTATAGTTGTGTCATGACAATTTATGTTTTATACAGTTACTGGCACCAACACAGTGGCAATAGAAAGCAAGATAATGCATAAAAATGTGCCTGTGTAGTGTCACAAAATTGACACCATCAGCTTAATACACACAATGCCACTACAAAACAAAATGAAACAATCTAATCCAATGCATATATCAACAATAATAAGCATCTAACTTTCTAAATGACAACTAAACAAATTATTTTAACAATATTTACCCTATACGAATTACCATTTTTAGGAAATTATGATGTAATAAATCCTTATATATAAAAACATTCACAAAAAATGCATGTAGACTATTTCCTTCTAAAAAAAATTCAGCGTATATGAACTAACATTTAACCAGTTATACAGTTTTGCATGAAAAAAATGCAAGGTTGTTTATTTCACATATTGACAAACCCAACCGTTGAGTTTAAAATGCATTTTAGAAATTTAAACCAACGTTGGGTTTGTCCATGTCTGACCAAAACATGTTTAGAGTTTAGCATTGATTTGATCGGTCAAAATGGCCAACAATTTAAGTTAAGCTATTTAAGTTATACGCTTTTATGGGGTAATAGGCGTACCTGTGTGTGAAGGATGCGACTCATTTTTTTTTTTTTTTTTTTTCCTGCAGAAACCTTCAAACAACACAGCGCTCCTTTGCTCCAGATGCAGCTGTCCGGATGCTCCTCTCCGGGGTGACAGACCTCTGTTTCAAAAACAATAGATGTGCACCCCAAGGATGTTAAGTGTAGCACTTACAACTGGAAACAATCTGGTGAATTCTGCGCGCATTTGAATCTCTGCCTCATTTTCACCCAGTTGCAGTATAGTTATTAAAATTAAAGTCGTTATATCCTTGTTTTAGGGGTTCCGATTGACACGTAATCCTCGGTAAACAATATGATGTCGAGTTTGAGTTGAGGTCCTCGGAGGCAGGTGTAGGCTAAATGATTTGTTCAGACGCGATGTCACGCGCAACACTCAGTCAGTGTTCCCTGTTAGATAAGCGTTTCGACCTGCTCCCCTGCAGCTGGAACTGAACTTTCCCAAGAGTACTGCCAGAATTTGCTCTCTTTTCCAAAATTATTCGACCCATGTAAACACGGCGGACTCTTCACGTTGCCTCCTCACACTGGGTGACCCTCTGTTTGTGTCCCATCGGTCAACAGTAATGCGTTCACATGAAGCCCTACATGACAGAAAGGAGGCGTCACTGCGCGCGTATAAACGGAATAGATATTTCAGATTTTGCGCGCGTGCGAATAAATGTTTTCCAGCGAGATATGTGACGACAATATTGTAAGTCTCTCTCTGAGCGCGAGCAGAGTTCGCCGGTGCAAACTAATCCATACAGTTCCCACGCGTACTATGCGTCTTCATCCTACTGGCCCACTCTCTCGCTGGCGCTCAGCAGCAGACTCAGCGCTGAACAGGCTTATAATGATGAGTGAATTCCTTTCGAACGTGAGCATCACTATACCCATGCTCACTCCGAAGGGGGGGTGCACTTGAAGTGAGTACTATAACAACGCGGGCATAATTCTGTCTTATTTGGAATATGCATTCGTGATAGGCTATCCTTTTATTTTCCATCAGAAAGTTGCTGGATGGCAACAAATTAAAAAAAAAATCGTCGATAGTTATTGTCAAAGATTTCAATTCGTGTAGGGTGCTGTCACAAACAAAGAATCATATCCTAGGCCTATGCAATATTTAGTTTTCCTCGATCGCAAAAATAGCCTAAGAACGTGTTTCAGTAGACCCAAACACAAAATCTAGACTACAAATTTGAACCAGAACCCCTTTTGTCCACGTGTTAAATTTTTACGGTCACCTAACCCCTGCGATGAGTATTGCAATTATTTAGATTTAGTGTTTTGTTTAATGTAAGACTATTTATAGTTTGTCTTATTGTGCTGATGATCAGGCCAAATAACAATTTGGGCTGTGTGAGACCTTGTTTTTTTTTTTTTTTTTTTTTTTTTTTTTTTTTTTTTTTGCTATACTAAATATGAAGTTCTCTACAGGAATGCCCTGCTTTTAGGAACAACACATCCAGCCTTACTCCTGTCTTATCTGAATAAGCAAAACAATTATTCCATGAGAAACCATTAATAATCTTATACAATTTATTAATTAATACATAACAAATAAAGTAAATGTTTCATGACTAATTTATCTATAACCTTTTAAATCTAATGATCAGCATTCTAAATATTTAATTTTTCAAACTCTCCTGATACCTGTTATCGAAGATCTCGCACACTGACTAGAACTGTCATCTATAATCTGATTCTATAACTTGTACTAACTTGTTATTAGACTTTGACATCTAATAACTTGTATGTCAGCAAATATATACTACTGGTAATACCTGTAATTTTTCAACTTTTGAGTTCAGTGTTGTTTGTGGTACTGACGACTCTTGCTTAAAAGGTGGCAGCACAGCGAATCCTTTTCATGTATTTCCACTGTCCTCTTTCTAGATGGAAATGTGTTCTCAGGGTCAGCTCACTTGAAACGGGCCTCGATACAGAAGGCTTGCACTCGAAAAAGAGCCCTGCCTCCCAAAAACAAATCCCTGTATGCATTCTTATTCATAACAGCCAATTTATGTTCCTATAAGCCAGGGTACAGATTGCTGTTTTCCCAAACATCAGGACTATTGCAAATGTGATAGCCTAACAGTGCAGAGCTATAAAAAAATATGGTGTCTGAAAGTTCTGTATGTGTTTTTTTGACCAACTTTTTCTAAGCTTGATGTTACTTCTTACGAGAAATTACTAAAGGGCCAAATGTCGTCTCTGAGGCTTGACCCTACACAAGTGAGTCGGACAGAGATCTACCTGATGATTCAGCTAGTTTTTAAAATCTTTTAAAATCTTTTGTCCATACAATAAAGGTCAATGAGGGCCAACATTGGACCTCACTGATTTTCACTGTATATTTTTTCAAAATAGCTTATGTAGACCTACCCATGGTCATAATTTGTAGGTGGGACATGTCCCCACCACTTTTAGCCAGTGTTGATATTGTCCCCACCACTTTTTGAAACATCTCGTACAATGGATGTACCTTATACAAAAGAAAAATCTCCATTTGATTAGCAAAAATGTTCTCTTGGTGCTCTTGCATAGGCTTCACACAAACGAGCTCTTTAATCTATTGCTTTAGGCTGTTGCGCAGACATTCGTTCCGGTGAAATCACAAAACAAAATACACGCAAACAAGTCCCTGCTCTTGATATACAATCACTGGTGAACAATTTTGGTTTTAATGAGAGAGAGAAAAAAAAAATCAAGGGTGGCTTAGAACCCACAACTTATAGGGAAAGTTCACCCAAAAATGCATTTTCTGTCATAATTTACTCACTGTCAAGTTGTTGCAGACCTGTATGAGTTTCTTTCCTCTGCTGAACACAAAGGAAGATATTTTGAAGAATGACTCTATTCTACAAAAAAATTCTAGACCACCAGTCCATTAGGCCAAACAAATGTTTTATGTGAATCTACACATTTATTCAGTATTGTAAATACTCTCAATACTAACAAAATATCGTAGTATAGAAAATTGTGTTTTTTTTCTATACTACACCACCCCACACACACACACACCCCAGTCTTCCACACTTTCCAAGTGAACCATTCATGACGAAACCCTTCATTATCACAACACCTGTGGATACGTCTCCATACTGTATCGTCATTAATCGCCACTGGGACATTTTTTTTTTTTTTTTAAATGAGGGTGATTGTGTCTTTCCGAAAGAAATTGCCTTTTTAGGTGGACTGAATTTCAATTAAAGAGACATTAATAAAGGCTGGGGAATGATTCTTTTTATGTTTATTCCATTTACCATTTATTTAGGAAATGATTTGACCGACACACAGGTAATTGTTTGAGTACAGTGTAGATATGTTAAAAATAAACCTCCCATTGATTAAATGTAATAAGGCATCTCAATAGTTAATTTCATTCTAAACAACAGCTTAATTTGATTCAAGGCATTATTATGGTTTAAGGGGGGTTTCCGTTTAATTGGTCTTGGCCTTCACTGCTAATTTAAGAGAAAGAGAATCACATCATGAACGTTCTTTCTAAAAGTCATAGGTCAAGTGCATGAAAGCAATACTCTGATGTCCTCAGACTTGCGGCAAAAAGTTTGAGTCATTCTAGCTACGCACACTTTTAAGCACTCATTGTTCCCTATATTGCTCAGCAGTCAGCACTACCTAAAGGGGTAAACCTGTCACCATTCACTCACCTTTATGTCATTTCAAACATGTATTTATATATTCCTTCCTTCTCAGTTTTTTTTTCCTAGTGTTTTTGGACCTCACTGACTTTCACTGTATGGATATTCTTCAAAAATCACAAAAATCTTGTTTTTCATTAAAGTCCCCCTGGGGTAAAGAACAAGCTTTTAATGTTGTTTATGCGGTGTTTTTAATTTGCTTTAAGACAAACCATTTGACAAATTCATGAGTCAACACTATCGCTGTATTTTCTCCTTAAACTACAGCAAACATAAGACAGTATCAAAATAGTGGTTTGAAATCACTGTTGTTTCTGACATCACAAACTACCCTGTAAACAATCACGATGTGTGATCGTCACTGAGTGAATCTCTGAGTTGGTGTGTGGGGGTGGGGCTAATTTGCATACTTATAGAAATGAGGCAAGGGTGTAGTTATATTCAAGCTATTTTAAGGCATGAAGAACTATCATTTACGTCATTGTTTAAATTTTTCAAAATAGTTGGACTTAACGGTTTCACCGCAAGGGACCGATGTATACTCAGCTATGGAAAGGAAACTACAACAAATACAATAAAATATCTAAAATGAAATGTTCCTTTGATCCTTTTTTTTTAACTGTTACTTTTTATGTTCTGGAATAAAAGGTAGACACTTGTTGCTTTGCCACTTTTATCTGCCTTGTTGAATTTATGTCATAAATGAAAAACGTCCTCGGGTTACAACTGTAACCCTTGTTCCCTGAGAAAGGGAACAAGAGCTGCATCGAATGACACTTTGAGGGAACGCCCCTCAGCGTAGTGCCTCTGAAGTATGAATGAAACTAAGCCAATCTCCAACTGGTGTTGCATCATGACATAATGTGTGATGGTATACAAGCAGAAGCTTTATAAGTACGCCGGCATACATAAGATGTCAGCTTCTGTGATGAAGCAAGCACTCCCAGGCAGGGGAAGGCGTGGCGAAGGGACGCAATTCTCGTTCCCTTTCTCAGGGAACAAGGGGTGGCCCATCCTGGCCCAAGAGGTGGCCCATCCTGCCGCATCGCAAACCTCCTGTATCGGTGCCCCCGAAAGGAGGGCTCTAGAGGGCGCCATGCCTCTGGTTGAATGAGCCCTCATGGCCATGAAGGTGAAGGCAAATTGCACACATGGTAGGCCAAAGAAATAGCATGGATTGAAATAACAATCTAGTTGCTGATGGTCTACTTGGAAGCAGGAAACCCTTTCTTGGGCGACCGAAAATACACCAGCAACTGGTCTGACTTCGGCCATGAAGAGGACCTCTGAATATACATTTTTAGGGCTCTGACAGGGCAGAGCAGATAAAGTCTGTCCTCATCTGCCGTCATGTGAGGTGAAGGATGAAAAGCCTGCAGATCTGTAGGCCATGCTGCATTGGACGGCACCTTAGGCAAATAGCCCGACCTGGGGTGAAGGATGGCTTTAATGTCGCCTGGAGCAAACTCCAGGCACCCATTTGATATAGAGAGCACCTGGAGATCTCCTACCCTGCTCAGAGAAGTAATGGCAAAAAAAACACCTTCATGAAAAGTTTCTTGGCCTCAGCCGACTCCAGTGGTTCGAGGGGGGCCTCAGCCAGCCCTTCCAAAACCACTACGAGGTCCCATGTGGGAACCCTCGTACGAGCCGCAGGTCTCGTCCTCCAAGCCCCAAGGAGGAAGTGCATGACCAACTGCTGTCTCCCAAGAGGTCCATCACCCAGAGGAGCGTGGAAAGCTGCAATTGCAGCCAGGTACACCTTGAGTGTGGACGGGGTAAGACCAGCTGCAAAGCAATCTTGGAGGAACTTCAGAACTGAAGCCCCTGGGCAGTTAACTGAATCCACCTCACGCTCTCTACACCGATTGGTAACACATTACAAACAGTAAACTGATCATGCACACGCTCTGTTTCTGACGCACTTCACATTTGCTAGGCGGGGGAAGATTGATGCACTGGACTGGAGTCGGGGGACTTAGTTACGTTTTTGTGGAGTAGTAATTACAAATAGCATTAGTATAAAAAAATCACTTGTTCGCTCATTTTGGCATACCCCAAAAATGTTACCTTTAGGAGTGAGGACCTCTTGGATCGGACGGGCACCCCACCTCCTCCTTTGGCTTACGCCTGCGAGCTAAAGCTGGACCAATATTGATCCTCATCCAGCCTTT